ACTGTCCATCTGGCAGCCTGAGAGGAGTTAAAGTGCAGGCCATAGGCTCCCACCCAGCTATCACTCCCCGTATTACCAGGAATTAACAAATCAGATATTAGGAAGAAATGAAATCAGCTCTTCATGTATTTTCCCAGGAGTACAGACAGATTTACTATTTAATTCTAATGCTTTGGACTTAAGTCCTTTGTAGGTCTCTAGTTTAATGGGGTCATCTTGCACTCAGTTAAGGGCATACTACAATAACCAAGTATGAGGGCAGTTGTTACAGTATATGGCAATCTGTCAACATAAAATGTACATGCAAGTGCTTGGAATGTCAATAACGAACTAGCAAGTGACAGACAATTTTATTTTATGCTGGGTCCTCTTGCACGGCAAAAAAAAAAATTGTCCATGTAACCTCAGCAATTCCAGATATGTTGTAGGGAATGTTATGCATAAAGATATGTCCTCTATTTGAACTGGAAAAGCAGGATGACTGAATCCATTGTTTTTGTACATTGCACACACAGTGCAGCAGTCAGAAAAAAAGATGTACAACTTAGATTGTGAAATGTTATTTTTTTTTGTTAAGAATCTTGCATATTGGTGATTACATACATGACAAATAAACAAACCATGAACAAATCGTATTTTATATAAACTGTACTTGGGTTTATTTTCCAAATGTGTGGCAATGTCTCTTGCATACTAAGGCACATACTGCAGTGTATAAGTAACTAGACATTCAAGATGAGAATCCATTTCAGCACCCTGTCACTGAATTTTTACTGAGAGACAGAGGAAGGCAGCACAGGATGACACTTTACAGACAAACTGGTTCAGAATGGAATTAATTTTTCATAGATGACCTCAAACGCTATGAATGGATTGAGAGATAGGGGAAGAGAACTATTTGTTTTCAAGTTATGTAGAGATTGGGGAAGTGCGTACTTGCAAAGTGTTATTAAACTTTGAAGTCTGGCTGACACTGATGCTTGCATGTATTGAAGACGAGAAGAAAGAATGGAAGGGAGGTCAGAGAATGTTTGATTAGGTCAGTCTCAGTGAAGAGAGCAATTGATAAGCAACTTCAAATGAATAGCAAAGCCCTGTTTGGTGTAACACTGGATCAAGATCAATGGCATCAGGAATCGAGTTCAGAAGCTGGACCCAATCTGAGCCATTAATAGATCTGTGACATATGTACTAAGTAGGGAGGGCAGAAACAGAAGGGCCGTACTACCTCCAGCTGGAGGTTATCCAGTGTACTTGAAAGTGATTTTTTTCTGCTTTCAGAGGGGTAAGGGAGTAAGTTTAACATTTTCTTCTACTATGGAGTTTATCTAAAAATTGGTGATTTTCTTTTTAAAAATACATAAATTTAAATAACGTTTTCCCTTATGAAAAATATACTTGTTTAAATTATATACAACTTAAATATAAAATATTTTAAGTAAAGGACTAAACTTGTTACAGTACCCTAAACTATTAAAATAAAAAAGTAAATATACTGGTTCCATAATCAAAAACTTTCAGTTGCAGGCTTTTCTATATAAAGAAAAATAGATTTCATTTCTTCCTAATGAAATATCTGATTTGTTAATTCCTGGTAATGCAGGGAGTGATAGCTGGATAGGAGCCTGCGGCCTGCACTTTAACCCCTTTTGTGAAAAAAAGGCACCTTTGTGCTTTTCTATATAAAGAAAAAATTAGGGGGAAAAGCATCTAAGTTCTGAGGTCAAACATCCAACTTCTTGAGACAAAACAGGTCAGATGCTGCATTAAGGGCTTGATCTTCTGGGGGACCCACACTCGTACTGCTAGATATAAGAAACTGGCAAAGTCACCTCAGGTACTGGGACCTGCTCAGACACCATCATGTATTTCAGGATCAGCCACTGAGCACACCTGGTTCATCATACACCTATTTTAATGCAGCTGCTTGATACAAATCATGAACAAATAGTAAATCATAGAAAAGAAGCAAATCTATCATTCACCATTTCCTAACACAGCAATGCAAGAATTTGAGGTGAATAAGAATTTGAAAAAATATATTTTAAGTAATTATGCAAGTTTAATGTATAACTGCATAATCTACTCATTAAATTCAGTGCAAAGCCATATCTATATACACATATCTAGATCTAGATATGTCTACTTGTTACCAATCAGTGAGAATGTACCACTCTAGAAAATAACTGGGAAAAAAGAAAAACATTATTTAAATCAATTATTTAAATAAAAACTTTCCACTGTGGAACTTAAAACATGAATTCAACTTGCTTTGATTTAAAGCAATGTACCTTGTTCTAAAATGCAAGGCTGCCTGTATATGTGCTATGCGGGTGGGGGGGTCATTTTAATTAGAGTAGTTCTCAGAGAGCCACTTTAATTAAAATGCCTCATTGTCGCATGTATTGAGCCCCCACAGATTTAAAAGTGGTCATGGGATGCATTATCTAAACCTCATTCAGCAAGATTTAGATAAAGTGCCCCTGCAGCCATTTTAAAATGTACAGGGGTTTATACATGCAACAGTGAGGCCACACTGGAGCATTCAAATTAGAAGGTGGAGCAGACTCAATTAATCAAGTCTGCTCTATCACATTCTAATTAGAACATGAACCAGCACATGTATAGGCAGCCCAGGTTACTCCACCTGGGCCCATGGGAACCTGCAATGCACTCTCAATTCTATTCTATTCCAAGTGCAAGCGTACAATGACTACCCATTTTGGTTCTGGCTCTACTTCAGTATGCTACTCAGAATACTTTAAGCTGTGTAAATGATTCAGTATCTATTACCTAGAGGGGGAAGAACCCCACCTTGCTCCCCTGTTCTGAGTTTTTTGTATTTTGGGGGGGGTTTGCAAGAAAAAAAAGCTTGTGGCCTTTGGAACACAGCATAAGATGCATCTGTTTTAGGAGGAATGAAGGATAATTTTGTTGTTTTTTTTAGTTTAAAAAACTTCAGTAACAGGCAAAAGTTTAGAAAAAGTAGCAAAGGGCAGGAATAATTTTAAAAAATATATACAGATCTGTTTGAGTTTTTCCATTGTTTTTCTATAGGGACTGATAGCTTTTCGCTAAAGAAAATGAAAAAGTATTTCATCATTCTATACCATGTTTCAGCTTACTGAATATATCTAATCACTTTAAAGGTTCTATAGAATAGATGTGTTGTTTTGTATATATTACATTTATAATAGTAAAGTTTGTTATATGTATTACAGAGAACAAAAAGACAGGCTGCATTCTTACAGAGTGAGTCCTACATAGAAAGTTTTAAAAAATCTCTCAAAAATCTGCATAAGCTTCACTTAAATGTTAACTCTATTTGGTACTTGGTCGCTAGGGAATGCCTATTATATTTGGAAGATTAAATGGATGTGACAAAGCTGTCCTTTGTGTTATATATATACATATACACACACACACACACACACACACACACACGTATATACATGTATATATGTATTTGTGTGACAAAAACACAAATATATTGGAAGAGCTTCTCAAAATCTCTATTTATATTTGCAAACCAGAAAATAAAACAATCCTATGTTTCTGATCATTTTTCCTCCTCTTTTGTGGGAGAGGAGTAACTTAGTGACAGAGCATATCAGTGTGGGGACAGGAAAAAATACTGCAGTTTAAAAAAATTATGCATTATCACATCAAAATGGCAGACTTATTTGTATTTGGCAGATTCATTTCCTTTTTTTTTTTCTTTATGACTAAACACTCTGTGAGGGGTTATTTAATTTTTTTAACTAGCTTTACCATAACAATTACAGTAAAACTATAGTCATTCAGATGCCCGTATCTTCCAAATCCATGCTTCTAATAAGAAACTCATCTCTCAACCAGTAAATAATTTAAGAAATAAGTTAGGAACCACAGGGGAAGAAAAGCAGCACATTAATTTTCCTTTTGGCTCTACCTAAGGAGGGATATGGTATCCCAAGAACCACACTGCTGCCCTTGATTATGCTATTCTAGTTACATAAATGTGTCAGATGAGAAACAGACCACAAACCTTTCATGACTGGAATGGTCTGATGACCACAGAATATATTGCCATGCCTCACTGCCCCTTGCTCCTGCTTCTCTGGCCAGTTTTCAGTTGGCACATGACAACATGCCTATTTAAGCCAATTTGAATTCAGTAAATATGGTGACCATGGCTTTTAAGAGGTGCACTTAATCCTTTAGGCTAAGCACAGACATTTGGGGAGGTTAAACTGGGTTCAAAATGGCCAGCTGGTGCCGACCTTACATTTACAGACCTGGTATCAGTGACCGGCAATCAGTCTAAACCTGTAACTGTATAGAAGTTCCATCCACACAAACCGGTCTAAAAATTGCAGAACCCAGTTTAAGATAAACCTGGAACCACGTATTTCAGATGTATCTGATTTAGGTCAAAATGGTGCATGGAACTTCCGTCCACTTCCCTGGACAGCCCCAGAGCTGGGAAAACCCAGCCACTGGCCACAGCACCAGGGCTGCTCTTTTCACCCCATCCTCCCCCTCAACTTGTCTGCTTTTTACTCCCCCCCCACCCAGGTCATGCCTCCCCTCCCATTCCTCGTGGGTCGTGCCTGCTCTCCCCATCCCATCTGCAGGTTGTGCCTGCC